GGGCGGGCGGGGCGGGGCGGGGCGGGCCTCTGCATCTGCTCGTCCCCCAGGGCTGGGGGGAGCCTGGCCAGTGCGGAAAGCGCTGGAGAATTACGAAGCCTGCCAGCCCCTTTGCCAGGGCCTGAAACACGAAGTGATCTAGTGGAAGCTCAGCATGATCTATGCATTTCAGCATTGCCCTCATCATATCTGATAGCTGTGCTGAAAAATGATGAATGCAAAGATTTCCTGGGAGATGTCGGAACAGCAGGGGAGCCTCCCTAGGTCTGAAGAAGGGTGTTTGCTCAAAAGCTTGCAAAGAGCTTTTCTGCGCACCCCCCACAACTACTCAGTTGGTCTAATCGGAGAGATCACGTCTACCCGGAGAACCTGGCCCGCCTGCGCGTGCAAATATGCGTGCAAAGAAGCATGCAAACAAGTTGCTTTAGTGACCGTCTATCGCTCATTATAACTGGGCAGTGAGTGAGAAGCAGGTCATGAAAGTTGAAGCATTTCTTCATTTCAAGACGCGCAGTCAGGAGAAAGTGCTGGCAGTAAACCCCCAAATCTGTTTCTCCATCTCTTGTGGGCTAAGAACAAAAGTAGGGAGTATCTCAAGTGGAGACTAAAGAGTCTGGGATGGAGGATGCTTGCCTGCTTCCCCACTGGCTTTGTCATCTTTTGGGATTCATAACTCTTAACATCTACAAATAAAATTCAATCTGGGATCAGAACTCGTGGCAGAGGTGATATCTTTTGCTAGACCAACCAGATATTTGCAAATGATATATATGTATATACACGTGTGTATACACACACACGTATATCTGTCTGTGTATACGTGTGTGTGTGTGTGTGTATACACACACACGTATATCTGTCTGTGTATATGTGTGTGTGTGTGTGTGTAGAACAAGCTTTTAAGCTTGCAAATAAAGACCTTTTTTTTGCAAATATCTAGTTGGGCTAATAAAAGATATCACCTCTACCACGAGTTCTGATTCCTTTTACCTCTAGACCAATACAGCTACAACCTGGATACCTGACACGTAGTATCTGGGGGCATCCGAACCCAAAGACCTCCCGGCCTGGGCCTGCATGTGGGATGCCTGCCAATGGAGTTGGGAGGATCTGAAGTGCCAGGTTGATAGGTCTGGGATGGAGGATGCTCACTGGTTGTAGTGCCATATGGTGTGTAAAGTGATTGAGTTCTGCCTGCTCAATTGATGTGTTTTTTGGAATGATTGAGTTCTGCTCGATCAATATGATTTAGAATTGATTTGGCTAATTTGATCTAGAACATGAAATATGCTTTATATATATAGACACCCCAAAAGTCAGTTAGACTCTCTGAGTGTGACTTAGGTTTTGCATATACTGCATCAATTAGCTGCCTCAAAAATTGCCACATAAAAAGCACTTTTGGCAGAGGTGCTGCTGTCTGCCCTCACCCTCTGGATGTTTTTTTGCATGTTTGTTTTATATCCAATAGCTAGAACAGTCACCCAGGATATAGGTCTCTTGCATTCAATGTCCTTTTCTGCCTGAAGATTTACAACCCCCACCTCCTAGGAGAGCACCCAACCCAACCACCAGATATAGGATATTCTGAAAAGAAGGGATGAAGCAAAGAGTAAGTTCCTTCCTATTGAGGCTGTTCAGCTTTGCATAGCACAATCAGCAATTCACTGGGCTACAGAGTGTGAGCACACACAAAAACAAGCATGCCTCTATAGCAGTGGTTCTTGACCTCTCAGACTCAAATGCCAACTCTTAGGTTTTTTTAACTGAACTATGGAAAAATAAACAGAACAATTTTTCTGTTGCAAAAAACCTCAGAAAGACCACAACAGGTCAGAATATTTTTGACATTATGAGTTTCTATTTAAAAATCGCTGGATTTATCTTGCAAATCACATGTAGCTGTTTGGACATCTTAGAGTGCTAATATTATGTTAAATTTAAAAACACCTCGTTGCTCTTTAGTCTGTATAATGCTAGTTGTCTCCAGTGAGAGAACAGACCTAGTCCAATGAATATTTAAAAACAGTAACTTTTTAGTACCAGCTGATATAAGTTTCAAGGACTTTGCAGTTTGCACAGCTGTTGAAGAGTTCTTGATGCAATATTTTCTTCAGCCCAGAATAGAAAGGCAGAACAGGTGGAGAAGTCCAGATTAACTGCTGGTAATAGGACAGCTGGCATCAGGAATGTACTAGAAACTAAGATAGTTATTTAATTTTTTTAAATAACAGAAATTGTGTGGAAGGGACAGCAAGGAACATTTTCATTTGAAAAAAAGAAAAAAAAAAAAAAACCAAAAATGAGAAAGGCCTTCTATCCTGGGACTAATAAATACATGCCTTCTTACTATGCTTACCTAACACAACCCAGTTACCCTTCCTTTGTACATTTTGTAGGCTGTATACCAGAGGTGGGCAAATTATGGCCCACCAGACCATTCTATGTGGCCCACGGGACCCCTCCAAAAAACAATTATTACAGGCCCACAGCTGCCCCCCCCTCCCCTGGAAAGCCAGTGGGAGGTGGGCTTTCAGAAGTTGTGCACCATTGGAGTGGGCAGGCCCTGTGCCTCCACCTCCATGGGGCTCCCAGCACTCCAACTGGGAGCCTCATGTGGAGGCACAGAGTGCAATGGCGCACAACTGGACAGCTAGTGGGTGGGGAGGGGAGATCCTTGCTTGCCGTGCTGGGAGCCCCACGTGAAGGCACGGAGCCAGCCCGGCCCACTCTGGCTTGATGGCATATGCTCCCAGCTGCAGTGGCAGGAGCCCCATGGAGCCAGCCTAACCAAATTGATAGCATGCAGCTCCTGGAAGGATGATGGCAGGGGCAGTGCTGGGGGGAGGAAAGGGGGAAAGGGCAGAGGAGAGAAATCATGGCATTTAGTCCCATTTCTGGCTCACCTTATACATTCCATCAAGCTAGGACAATTTTAGAAGCCAATGCTTGGTGCCTCTTGCTTCCTGGAATGCATATACAGAAGCACTTATCAGGCCTCTCACTTCTTAAAATGATGTAGCTTAAACTACACAGAAAATTGCTTCTTGCACCCTTAACTGGGCTCCCTGCCCCTTGTACATCTCCAAGCCATGTTCCTGGTATACCTAGTCACCCCTTTCTTCAAAATGGCTATTACACCTTCCCTGGCCAAGTAGGAAGTGATTTTTGAGCCTATAAGTGCCCATTCATCTCTCAGCCCCACTCCACCTGCCATCCTCATTTCATCCTGTTGTTTCCCCCAACCCTTCCTCTATTACCCATTTGTACTTAACCTTTTCCCCTCTAATTTTAAAGCACCAAACCTTTATTTTTTTTCCTCTAACACTCTCCCTTCCCAACAAGAATTTGCATGAAGATTGGCATCAAAGCCAATTTGGGCATCATCTGAATTTTTTGTTTTACTCCAATAACATTTTTGCAAAATAAAACCCTTTAAACATACAGCTTGTAGCTACAAGCTTACAATACAGGCTCCCAGCCACCCCTTCTCTCCACCCAGACTTCTGTCAAGGCTTAGATTTTCCCTGGCACTTACTGGGTGCTAGTCAAGTTCAATGGCTATAGCACACCCAATGAAGCCACACAACTGAAATGAATACTAGCTAACAAAGTCCTCTCGACTACTGGGGGTGCACGAAATGGGCTGTATTCCATTTGGATTCGGCCCAAATTGGGGAGGGTGATTTGATTATTGATTCGGATCTCCATCCCGACTCAATTCAGCTGAATCCAAATCTGAAGATTTGATGCTAATTCAGAGAATCAGCGATTTGGCCATAGACACAACTTTAAACATTTTTTCTTTAAACAGTGATTGGCCATGGGGGGGACCCCAGGTGACCCCCACAGATCCAGGAGGCACCAGTCACTGAGCCCAGGGTTGTGGGGGCCCCCCCAGTGCAATTCCCAGTGGACCTGGAAGTGGACCAGAAGTGTTTCCACTTCTGGGTCTACTGCCAAGCATGCTGGGGACCCGCGCCCCCCACTCCCGTGCTCTTATGGGACACTCCATCTGCCCCAGCATCACAGCATTCAAGAGCCACCTGGTATTTTGAGGTATGTAGAAAAAACATTTAAAGCTGTGTCTATGTCTGAATCACCGAATCTTTCCAAATTGATTCAAAGAAATTAAAGGATCTCCTGATTTGATTTGGATTCAGAGATTCAGCCACCGAATTGGGACGAATCAAATCAGTGACTGAAGCTTCATACAGCTCTATTGACTACTCTGGTTCTTGCATGCAGAATATAATCTGTTTGGCTCATAATCATAAGGGACTTGCCTATCCCAGCAGTTATACTGTGTCCCTCTCCTGCTACTACCATTTTCAGTTTTGCTTTCCCAAAGGGAGAGTGGGTGCAATGCTGTTTGGGGAATATATAATATTTATCTGGTTAGGTCACACTGTAGATGAAAAGCTGCACAACTTATTAGTTAAAGAGAAGCAACAATGCCACATCATTTTGTATCAGTTCTTTATTTTTGGTTCAAGGAATATAAACAGCACAAACTGATGGATTAGTAAGGACACTTCAACTGCAGACTTCGGTAGTATCAGTCTTACAAACTGCTTAATTAAATATTTTTGTCTTTCTGCTTTGTCATATTAAAGATACAAATATCAAAGCGCTTGTGATATAATACCTGATAACATATTTTGTAAGGTTTTTTCAAATATTAAATATTAAGTAACTTTATGATAATTCAAGAAAACAAATTAGATCAATACATGGTACACAAACTTAGGATGAAATCCTGCCTCCACTGACTTTTATAAGGAATTCTAGAATTGATATCAGTGGAGTCAGGATGTTGCCCCCAGTCAATGCTCAGC